ACAAAGACAGGAAGGACGAACCAGGTGTCAGCAATTTGAGCAGAGGTGGTCTGCCCAGTCTGGGTGTTGGTGATGGTGATCCACTTTCCACAGTTGGAAGAGTCGTGCTTGGCGGAACTGATGGCTACAACGACGTCGCTGTCGCTGTGCGTGGTGCCGCAGCTGCCGGCGTTGCCTCCCTGGTAGAAGAAGGTGGCATGGCCGCTGTTGGCGCGCTTGACGGGCGCAGCGCTAGCGAGCGCGACGGTAGAGAGTGCAAGGATTGCGACGGTAGAGAAACGCATTTTGAATGTGAGTTGATCCGGTAAGGATGGACTAGGAGTTAGGTCTGGAGTCGGAAACTTCTGCGCTGAGAGAGAGTGTGACTAAGAGATGTGTTCTGAGTGGGAGTGCAACTTCCTTGCAAGCTCCAACATGCTGCTCTTATAGAGCTTTGACCCTCAGTTCCACTCGTTTCGATGCATCCAAGCGAGAGAAAAAACTCTGACACTGACTCTCCGCCATTGTAGTGTGCGAAATCTGGATGTCTACACGACGACGAGTTTTGGAGGAGGAAGGAGGCGCATAGGACCTAGGGACTGCCGAGGCCGTCCATGGAGCTGCCAGGAACCCGCCTGGAGAGCAGGAAATCTGCGCTCGATTCGCGTTGCTGCACCAGCGAGATCGTGCCTACATGAGTCTGTGCCATCTGACGAGCCTGCTGAGCCTGAAAGAGGCAGGCAGCTGGTCGATCCCCATGCGAGTGTGGCCGCTAGACGATCAAGGAACAGGGGTGTTCCCTTGCAAACATATTGATGGCCGTGACATCAGCCGAACTTTCAGAGCGCGGTGGAGCGAGGGCCAATGGACAGTCGTGAGTCCTTGTTTCGAAGGCGAGCGAAGCTTTGGCTGCGTGTGTGCGTTTCGAGTTGCTCTCTAGCATAGCAGAGCAGAGCAGGGCAGGGTGGCACTCAGGAGTTGGAGTGCTTGGCGTGTTCCATGCATGGTGAATCAGTTTGCAGGGTCGAACCCTCCATCGACCCTCTTCCACATCCCTTGCAATCCCCCCCCTCGATTTCTGTGTGACAAGCCGAGACACCCTCGACTTGGGAGCGGTGCATCAAGCAAACACAAAATTTGCCGGAGCGATGAAGTGCATTCAAAATTCACACATCACACAGCTTCGTACCC